TCATCACTCAGGCTGGAGTGCAGTGGCACCATCTCAGCTCACTATAGCCTTGGCCTCCCAGGCTCAAACCATCCTCCGACCTCAGCCTTCTGTGTAGCTGGAACTACAGGTGCCCACCACCATGCCTGGCTAATTTTTGTATTTTTAGTAGAGACGGCATTTCATCATGTTGGCCAGGCTGATCTCAAACTCCAGACCTCAAGTGATCTGCCCACCACAGCCTTCCAAAGTGCTGGGATTACAGGCCTGAGTCACCACGCCTGGCCAAGATGGACCCTTAGTTTTCACCTTGGCATCTCTAGAGAGCGAAAACTTGGGGAAGACCCACAGCTCTACTCTTGAGTGAAGTGGCCAAGTAATTATATTATAATTGGTCTTGAGTGTCATTCTTTTTTTTTGTCTGTGCCTCTCTTTCATCCCTTCCTGTTGTTCTTCTCTTCTTCCAATTTATTTCTGTCCAGGGGATTATGTTCTCTATCCAGAACGCCCCACCCAGGCCTCTGGGCAGGAGCTCATGCTGTAAGTCTACTTCTCTTTCTCCTTCTTCTGCTCTTCATCACAACTCTGGTTCCTTGGAGGGTGTAGTTTATCTTGGCTAGTAGTTAGGAGAAAAGCATCTAATTAAGCGAATTCAAATTAAAGCAAGGAAAATACTCTTTTTAAAGAGCTTGGCTATTTCCCCTTACTCCTGAAAACAGCCACACAGGATACCCAAGTGGGCTGACATGAGGGAATCATCTTTAAACCAACACGCTCCTCTCTCCCTTGCCTGTAGTATATGAACTCTGTAGGCTCCTTTAAAGAAGGCAGGGCTTTCTTACTTCCTTTCATGCCTCTGAGAAATTTCCCAGAAATTTAAGGTGAAAGCTGGAAAATATCCTCCATAATTGTTCTTTAAAATGCACTTGACTTTTTTTTTTTTTTGAGACAGTCTCTCTCTGTTGCCCTTGCTGGAGTGCAGTGGTATGATCTTAAACTCACTTCAACCTCTGCCTCCCAGGTTCAAGCGATTATCCTGCATCAGCCTCCCGAGTAGCTGGGATTACAGGGGCATGCCACCGTGCCCGGCTAATTTTTTTGTATTTTTAATACAGACAGGGTTTCACCATGTTGGCCAGGCTGGTCTCGAACTGTTGACTTCAGGTGATCCACCAGCTTCGGCCTCCCTAAGTACTAGGATTACAGGTGTGAGCCACTGTGCCTGCCCTGTACTTACATTTCTGACTCCAAGGGTCCTTGGGCAGATATCCACATTTCTGTCTCGGGAGGCAGTACTGGTCCTTAGCTCTCCACCCCAGCCCCCTTGTGTCCCTGGAAACTGAGAGCTGCCCGGAGTAAAGCAGATTATTGCTGACCTCAGAAGAACACAGATGTAGTCGCCATTTGTGAGGAGGAGGGTTCAGTAACCTCCTGGAACAGAAATAATGAAGATGAGGCCAGTCTTTCAAGTACAGCATGTTTTCTAGGTGTGCTTTGCTCCTTTGGAAGAGACATAGGGGACAGGAGCATGAGAACGGGGCCCCCAACTATACCTGTCCCTTCTGAGGCAGGTGAGAGGCAGCACAGATGAAAGCCCTCTTCCTGGCTGATAAGGGCAGCAGAGATGTCTCTACATCATTTCTCAAAAAGTAGCAAAGGACTACATGGAGTGAAATTCTTCCCCATCTCAATTTGCCTGTTTAGTCAAATGTGGAATGTTTTAGAATGCATCTCTTGTATATTAGTCAGGATTTTGTCAGCTTCCAAAGCAAGAAGAAAAGGATTTGTTGACTCCAACACCAGGAAGTTTAAAACATGACTCTTCAGATGTGACTGGGTTTTGGGATTTCAATAATGTCATTAAGGCCGGGTACAGTGGCTCACGCCTATAACCCCAGCACTTTGGGAGGCCGAAGCAGGTGGATCACCTGAAGTCAACAGTTCAAGACCAGCCTGACCAGCATGGTGAAACCCTGTCTCTACTGAAAATACAAAAATTAGCCAGGCGTTTGGCATGTGCCTGTAGTCCCAGCTACTTGGGAGGCTGAGGTGGAAGAATCGCTTAAACCCAGGAGGTGGAGGTTGCAGTGAGCCGAGATTGTGCCACTGTGCTCCAGCCTGGCAATAGAGCAAGACTCCATCTCAAAAACAAAAAAAAAAAAAAAAAAAAGAAAGAAAGAAAAGACCAGTATTTTAATCTTATGAGACCACTGTTGTATATGAGGCCTGTTTACCAAAACATCAGTAGGCAGCACATGGCTGTAGTTTGAATGGAGTACATGAGCGGGTACAGGGAGAGATGAATCCTAAGCAGTAGGCAGGAGCCAGATCACAAAGGGTCCTGTGTCAGGCTTACAGATGTAAGCTTGCCCCTGATTTCGAACAGGACATGGACGTGTCCAGATTTGCAATAGAGCATGCTCATTCTGGCAGCAGGTGAGAGAAATGAGCCAGGCCAGAGGCAGGAAGGAGAGTCGGGAGACTGCTGTGGGAGGGCATTTGAGATGTGCAGGGGACTCCTTCTGTGCGGGCAATGTCAGCTGATAAAATAGATAATTAGAAAAATCACTGTTCTGCAACCCCAGTTCAGGCAAGGATTCAGATTATCAGCAGATGCTAAGATATTCACATGGTCTTAAAGAATCACTCCACGGATTATTTAAAATAATTTTTAATTTTTTTGACCAGGTACAGTGGCTTACACCTGTAATCCTAGCATTTTGGGAGGCTGAAGTGGACGGATCATTTGAGGTAAGGAGTTCACGACCAGCCTGACCAATACAGTGAAACCGAGTCCCTACTAAAAATACAAAAAAAATTGGCCAGGCATGGTGGTGGGAGCCTATAATCTCAGCTACTCTGGAGACTGAGGCAGGAGAATCACTTGAACCTGGAAGGTGGAGGTTGCAGTGAACCAAGATTTTGCCATTTCACTCCAGCGTGGGAAACAGAGTGAGACTCCATCTCAAAAAAAAAGAAATTATTTTTAATTGTGGTGGGTACATAGTAGGTGTATATATTTATGGGGTATGGGAGATGTTTTGATACGAGCATGCAATGCATAATAATTATATCATGGAAAATGGGTATCTATCCCCTCAAGCATTTATGTTTTTATTCCATGGATTATTATTATTATTGTTATTATTACTATTATTGTTAGATGGAGTCTTGCTCTTGTTGCCCAGGCTGGAGTGCAATGGTGCAGTCTCGGCTCACTGCAACCTCCGCCTCCCTGGTTCAAGGGATTCTCCTATCTTAGCTTCCCAAGTAGCTGGGAGTACAGGCATGTGCCACCATGCCCAGCTAATTTTGTATTGTTAGTGGAGATGGAGTTTCACTATGTTGGTCAGGCTGGTCTCGAACTCCTGACCTTAGGTCATCTACCTGCCTCAGCCTCCCAAAGTGCTGAGATTACAGGCTAGAGCCACCGTGTCCGGCCATTCCACAGATTATTAACTACACAGTGGAAACTGTACTACTGTACTTTTGCAGTGGCAAGATCTGGTGGCCATCATCTTAAGCAAGAGGTAGTGGGACAAGCTGTCATTATGGAACTTCCGTGGGATGTGATAAGAGATGGGTAACATCTCCTATACAGTGTTCTTTCCAAAGAGGTTCAGCCTGAATCTAGTAATGAGGAAACAACTAGACAAATCCAGAATGTGGGAGGTTATATAGGAAAACAGGCTAGAACTGTTCAAAAACTCAGTGTCATAAAAAACAAAAATATAAACAAAATGAGAGGAGAATGTTCTCAATCAAACGAAGGAGACCCAAAAACCACATGAAATAAGTAACCCTGATGAGATCTTTGGTCAGACACTTAAAGCAGCCTGAAGGTGTCTGGGCACGGTGGCTCATGTCTGTAATCCGAACACTGTCTCAAAACAAAACAAAAAAAAACCAGCATGAAAGACACTCGGGGACAATGGGGACAGTTGAGTTGGAACTAAATGTGAGGTACTGGTTTTCTTAGGTGTGATGTTATGTAGTTATGCAGGAGAATGACTTTATGCTTAGGTGACATTGCAGAATTGCGGTGGGAGGTGTAATGATGTTGCCAACCTATGTCCCAATGACTCGGGAAAGCATGCATGTTATTATGTACTTACATGACATATGGATGCTTTTACATGTGTATGATATATGGAAAATATCATATATATGACAGTTACAGGTGTTCTTACAAATGTGGCAAAATTTTTTTTTGACCTGGCATAACTTTAATGACAGAGAACTATCATACGAACTACGAAGCTCTGGCATTGAATTTCAAACATGTTAACCCAGGGGGCTGCCCAGTTGAGTCTGAGTTCCTCTAAGCCACCATCGTCAAACATCAGGGTATAGGGGATAAAGCATGAGACATTCTTTAGGAAGAATCAGTGCACAGCACCCTTCCTGCACCAGGGAACCATGTGGTAGTCAGGCAGTGGTGGTTAAGGAGCCCCGGTTGGCACTGGGCCACTCAATAGGCTCCAACAAGGCAAGAGATGAAGAACAGCTTGGAAAGATACCAAGAGCTTTACGAATGTCTGGACTTATAACTAGAGGCTGCTTTTTAAAAATTCCTTTGGGGCCGGGCACAGTGACTTATGCCTATAATCCCACCTGTAATCCCAGCACTTCAGGAGGCGAAGGTGGGCGAATCACTTGAGGTCAGGAGTTTGAGACCAGCCTGGCCAACATGTTAAAACCTGTCTCTACTGAAAATAAAAAAATTAGCTTAGTGTGGTGGCGCACACCTGTAATCCCAGCTATTTAGAAGGCTGAGGCAGGAGAATTGCTTGAACATGGGAGGTGGAGGTTGCAGCAAGCTGAGATCACGCCACTGTACTGCAGCCTGGGAGACAGAGTGAGACTCCATCTCAAAAAAATAAAAATAAAAAAGAAAAGAAAAAAAAGAATTCAATTTAAACACTAGTAACCGAGGCATCCTGAAAGCATCAGGACACATGGAAAACGATGTATTACTGCCACAACCCATAGAGTCTTCCCTACAATCATGAGATGACAAATCTGGCTCCAAAGATCCTTTACTGAGATCCACCTGAAACACTTTGGTCCTAAATTTGTTAACTGAGTTGACAGGCTGATGGCTGATCTAAGTGAAGGTTTTACAGTAGCAAAAACACTTCCTGCCCAAAGTATATCAAAACAGCCTCCTGAATGACGTGTGTAAATGTCGTCAGGGTCTCTGTCCCATCTTCTTCAGGGTTCGATTAAGCTCCTTGAATTTGTGGAACTGATGGATGAAGAAATCCCCATAGCGCCTGGCGACCTTGGCGGCCACGATGTGGATCATATCCTTATCAGTGCAGAAGTCAACCTCTGAGGCTGACTGAAATTCACCATTCAGGGCTGAGATACCGCTGGTCCATACCAGGTTCTTCATCTTGTGTTTGAATACAAGAAGCTGTGAGATCCAGGAAGCCAGCCAGCTTGGCTACAGGCATGGTGGTATAGAGCTTGAGGAAGCTGCGGATGGTTGAAAGCTGGGCCTGCTGCTGTACTTTATCAGCAAACACATTCAGCTGCTGCAGGAAGGGCTCTTTGTGGTAGTTGGGGTGCACATTATCATAGTTGGGCACTACTGGTGATAGAAACTTGGGGCAGGAGTAACTGAAAGGTTCTTCATAGACTTGTGGGTCACCTTTCTGCATGAGCAGCATGCTGTCCCCATATTTCTCCCGCAGTTGGAGGTGAATGCTCTCATCGATATGCATGGGGTACATGGTGAGGGCAATAGCCAGCAGCGCATGCATCTGCTCATTCTGTTTGATAATCATCTCATACTTATATGTGGTCCTCTGGAACATGCCTTTGGTCCTCCGGATGTAGAGGAGGACGTTGGCAAAGACCCAGATGGCATCCTGGTAGCGACGCATCATCAAATATGCAAATCCAACATAATAGTACGTGGTGACCTGGCACTCTGGAACACGGGAATACATACTCTTTTTGTTCAGTTTGATGTTCTCCAGCACCTTGATGGCCTGGTAGTAATCTCCTAACAGGGAGTGCAGGCAGAGAAGCCCCACCAGGCTGAAGTGACCAAGCATCTTGTAGAGGGAGTGCCGCCCATACTACCCAGCCACACTCTCAGGGTCACCTCCGCTTGTGTATACCTCCAACTGTCGGTTGATGTTGGATTTGTCTACTAGGCAATGAAGGACATTGAGGACATTGTGAACATTCCAGATTTTGGGATTGGAACGAAGGAAGTCAATCTCCTCCTCTGACTTCTTGGCAGTCTTGCACCGGTAACTGACTGAATGACTGAAACCAGTAGATGAACTCATCGATGATATCCCAGAGCCACTGGTTGGGTAGTTCAAGGGGAGCAGGACCATCAGCATTAAGAATGTAGTTGAAGAGATTGCAATAGTTGTAATAGGATTCAAACCTCTGCTCCAAGGAACGTCCCCCACTGACTTTGGCATATATGTGCCTGTAGTATAATTCTTTGTATAAAATCAGGAAGACAGCATCGTTGCCAACCTGTGGAGCAATGGCTTCAGCCTCCGGCCAAGGTGTATTCTTGAAGAATCTTTCAGTCAGCTTGTTCTCATAGATGTTCTGGATCTCATATACCTTCTGGTCAATGACATTGCTGGAGACTCGACTGGCCTGTAGCTCATACACTTTCTGGTCAATCAAATCTGAGACAGTTTTGTGGAAATATTGGATGAAGTTCTTGATCACCTCAGGGATCACCTGATAGGTTTGCTGTTCATACTGACGTTCATAAGCAAGGTCCTGCTTTGGATCTCCTGTGTGCATATCATAGTCACCTGGATAAGCATAGGGGTCATAAGCCACCTCAGATTCGTAATCATCAGCGGCATAAGACATGGCTGCTGGGCTCACGAGCATGGTGGGAAAGCAAATGTGGCAAAATTTTAACAACATTTCTGTTCGCATGAGAGATACATGGGAAGTCTTATTTGATTCTTTCAGGTTTTTTTTTTTTCTTGGTAGTTTAAACACTATGATAGCTGAGGTCATGCCACTGTGCTCCAGCCTGGGCAACAGAGAGAGACTCCATAAAAAAAAAAAAAAAAAATGCCGGGCAGGGTGGCTCATGCTTGTAATCCTAGCACTTTGGGGGGCTGAAACAGGCAGATAACTTGAGATCAGGAGTTCAAGACCAACCTGGCCAACATGGTGAAACCCTGTCTCTATTAAAAATACAAAAATTAGCCAGGTGTGTTAGTGCGGGGCTGTAATCCCAGCTACTCAGAGGCTGAGGCATGAGGATCGCTTGATCCTGGGAGACAAGGTTGGCCATGAGCCGAGATCACACCATTTCACTTCATCATGGGGAAGAGAGAGATACTCTGTCTCAAATTTAAAAAAAGAAAAAGAATTTTATGCATGAATTTTAGGGGGACACGAACATTTGGTTCAGTTCACTGTAGGGAATTAAGAGAAACACAGGAGTATGGGGAATCTGTCCCCATGTGGAATGATGTCTGGGGATTCAGCTACAGTGAAGTTAGGAAAACCAGCCCAGTCAGGGGTTCCAGTACTGGACATAGATTAGATGACATCGTTTTTTGAGATGGAGTCTCCCTCTGTTGCCAGGCTGAAGTGCAGTGGCATGATCTCAGCTCACTACAAACTCTGCTTCCTGGGCTCAAGCGATTCTCCTGCCTCAGCCTCCCAAGTAGCTTGGGACTACAGGCACCCATCACTACACCCAGCTAATTTTTGTATTTTTAGTAGAGACGGTATTTCACCATGTTGGCCAGGCTGGTCTCAATTTCTTGACCTCGTGATCCGCCCACCTCAACCTCCCAAAGTGCTGAGATTACATGCGTGAGCCACTGTGCCTGGCCACTTTTTTAATGCGAACAGTGCCAAAAATCACCATAAATCAGCAATGCTTACCTTACCACACCAAGTAGAGAGTTGTAAACAGTGCTGAGTCAGGAATCAGGACGCTGGGGTTCTAATCCTGGCTCTGCCACTGAGCAGCTGTGAGTGAGGTGAGCTCTTCTTTGCTCTTCCTCTGAAAAAGGAGAAGATTGGAGCAGACCTTCCCTGAGGCCTTGCTCAAGTACACAGCTGTAGTCACCCTTCCTTCCTGATGTCACTGAGTCATCTGAGCTAAGAGTTAGTGAGATATTGGGGCATCTGCCATTTCATTCTTCCCATTTGATTTATTCCTCCAACCCTGTTGGCCTCCCTCTCATGAGAGCCTGTCCTTGACTAGATGAATTCCTCATTGAACGCTGTGCTTTATGGGGGAGCTGTAATCATTGCCAGGTCCTCATGATGTCTGCCCTAGATTTAGTAACAGGGTTTCTTCCTGGACTCTTGGATGCTGCTTTCTATTAACAATGCATCTGACTTTCTCTTTGTTTTGAAGCTAGCACATACTTATGATAGAAAATCTAGAACATTTGGGAAACTCTGTAAAAGAAAAAAAAAATTTTTCTTTCAGACTTGTCTTGCTCTGTTGCCTAGGCTGGAGTGCAGTGGTGCAATCTCAGCTCGCTGCAACCTCTGCCTCCTGGTTCAAGTGATTCTCCTGTCTCAGCCTTCTAAGTAGCTGGGACTACAGGTATACACCACCATGCCTGGCTATTTTTTTTTAATTTTATAAAGATGGTGTTTCATTATGTTGTCCAAGCTGGTCTTGAACTCCTGACCTCAGGTGATCTGCCCACCTCCCAAAGTACTGGGATTACAGGCATGGGCCACTGTGCCTGGCCTTGTAAAAGAAAACTTAAGTTACTTACAATTCCAATTTGCAGATAGCCACTAATAAATTTTTTTTGTGAATGGTGTGTGTGTGTTGCATAGTTCATCTCTTAACATATACATAATTTTGTATTCTGTTTCATTTAATAATATATGTTGCACACTCTCTTGGGAGAGAATGGGACAGACTCCCATTCTAACATTTATTTTTTATTTTTTTTATTTTGCCTCCATTACCTGAAGCATCTGAATCCCAGCATTCTATAATTTCTTTTTCAGAATTTTACAAGCTTGGAATGTCATGATGGCGCCTCATTTTAACAGCCCTCCATATATATGAAACACATTACGTACCCAAGAAATGTAATGTTAAAATGTGTTTCTTTATCATATCTTTTTCTATATATTAAAATATTCAATATTTTCATATCAGAAAATTTCCAGGCCAGCCCAGGCACAGCGGCTCACACCTGTAATCCCAGCACTTCAGGAGGCCAAGGTGGGCAGATCACTTGAGAACAGGAGTTCAAGACCAGCCTGGCCAACATAGTGAAAGCTCATCTCTACTAAAAGTACAAAAATTAGCCAGGCATGGTGGTGAGTGCCTGTAATTTCAGCTACTCAGGTGGCTGAGCCATGAGAATCATTTGAATCCTGGATGCAGAGGTTGCAGTGAGCTAAGATAGAGTCACTGCACTCCAGCCTGGGTGACAGAGCAAGACTCTGTAAAAAAAGTAGAAAGAAAGAGAGAGAGAGAGGGAGAGAGAGAGAGAGAGAGAGAGAGAGAGAGAGAGAGAGACAGAGAGAGAAAGAAGAAAGAAAGAAAGAAGAAAGAAAGAAAGAAAGAAAGAAAGAAAGAAAGAAAGAAAGAAAGAAAGAAAGAAAGAAAGAGAGAAGGGAGGGAGGGAGGGAGGGAGGGAGGGAGGAGCATTTTCCAGGCCAGGCATGGCGACTCATGCCTGTAATCCCAGCACTTTGGGAGGCCAAGGTGGGAGGATGATAGCTTGAGCTCGGGAGTTTGAGACCAGCCTCGGCAACATGTCGAGATTCCATCTCTACAACCTTAAAAATTAGACGGGTGTGGTGGTGGTGCCTGTGGTCCCAGCTACTCAGGAGGCTGAGTTGAGATGGGAGTATCACTTGAGCCCAGGAAGTTGAGGATCACAGTGAGCTGTGATCATGTCACTGCACTCTAGCCTGGGTGACAAAGTGAGACCTCAATTAGAAAAAAAAAAAAGAGGAAAATTTCCAAATAACTGGGCAACACTTTTTCCACATTCTCTTGTTCTGCTGTAAGCCTGGCCTGTTACATCATCAATACCACTGGGGAAATACCAGGATATAGAAAAAACAAGGGAAAGATGTCTTAGTTTACGATGCTACATTGTTAATGGTGGATCCATAGAAATACATCTGGGTGTTGATGGCATTTGTAGGGCATGTATGCAGTGAGCTGGTGGTAGGGGAGAGGTAAGTAGAGAGGGTAAGGAAATGAATTAAATTGGATAGGTGTTGAGTGAGGCATGGAAACTACTTTGGGGATTTTTTTCTCTTCCTTTGTTACTAATGCCAAATAGCAAAGGCTAATTTTAATGTAATGGGTATATTCGTGTCTAAGCGGAGGGACAGACAGACCTCACGGGGAGAATGCATCCTAGAGTCTTTTTAAAATAAAAACAGAACCAGCACTAATGAAGAGCAATTTTCTAATATCATTAAATTAATTCAAAAACATCATAACGCTTGACAGATGGATATTCTTAAATGTCTCCAAGGAAGAACCTAAACCATTTGCTCATTCTAGCAACTCATATTTTGATCTGAAAAGTTCAAGCCACTTAATTCATCCTCATGGCTCTCCTGGGAAGCAAGGAGAAAGAGGAAATTACTCTCCACCACCTCTTTTATATGATATATGTCTATATACACTTACATTTTTATTACACACTTAACTTTACAGGAAAAGAAATCCCATAAACTAGGTGCATCTCTCTGAAATCACTTTTAACCCTCATTAGCTTGGAGGCATTCATCTGAAAGTTGCCTACATGCTCACTGTCTCTCTGCATTCTTTCCAAATCTACACATTCCAGTGACCGTCACATTTGTTATTTTTAATGACTGCATAGCATCTCATTGTCTCAGTCTGTCATTGTTTATACAATCATCTTATTGTGAGAGCTTTGGGGGCTGCCTTTAAATTATTTGAAACATCATAAGTAATATGAATGCATCATTGTGCAAAATATTATTTTTCTTTTCGGATTCTTGAGTCCCATTGATGCTGGCTTTTGCTGGCATATAATAATAAAAGGTAGATGACAGAACCGCTAGGCTGTTCATATTTGTCTAGTTTCTATCAATGGTTTAGGATATGGCTTCTATTTTCCTGTGTATAAAATTGTCTATTCTTATTATTTTACACTCTGGCTGTTTGCCAAGTAGAAGCTAAGGATAAGCCATATACATTTTTTATTAAATCTAGATTTTTTAAGGAATATAAGCTGTTATAAGTTATATTTGTCATGAATCATCTTCACATTCTGTGTCCTTCTCTTTTTAAACTTTGTTCAGTTGCATTATTTTTTATGATGTATTTTTGGATGTTATAGAGGGAGTGTAACAGGACTCACTCATGGACTCTTCCAAGAATTTCTGCAGCCCTTGGAAACTCCATCACCCATGAAAAAAACCTAATACCTGAATCCTCTGTTCTCAGCATAAGAAAATATCCTTGGTTCAGGACAGGAGTGGTGGCTCATGCCTGTAATCTCAGCACTTTGGGAGGCCGAGGTGGGTGGATCATGAGATCAGGAGTTTGAGACCAGCCTGGCCAACATGGTGAAACCCTGTCTCTAAAAAAAAACACAAAAATTAGCTGGGCACAGTGGTGCCTGCCTGTAGTCCCAGTTACTCAGGAGGCTGAGGCAGGAGAATTGCTTGAATCTGGGAAGTGGAGGTTGCAGTGAGCCAAGATCACACCACCGCACTCCAGCCTGGGCAACAGAGTGAGACTCCATCCCAAAAAGAAAGAAAGAAAGAAAGAAAAGAAAATAGCCTTGGCTCATGGTTGGGGCCTGGGATATCCTAGGAAAATGATCTCTGTGGGGCGTGTGGCAAGAGCTGGGTTGTCAGTCTCCAGGGATACTGCTATCAGTAACCTCCTTTTCCACTTTGCTCTTTGTTC